TTTGACCCTTGGCTATTTTCAGCAGTGGAAGTGGATGGTGCTGGGAAAATATGATCATCTTTCACCTCCCCAAAGTGCAGCTTATAAAGCAATGGGGTGAGATATGGATAACACAGCACCTCCTTCAGTGCCTGCACCACCCCATTCTGAATCAGCTGTAGCTTTGGATGACCTTCAAAATCAGCCTCAAGTGAAATCCACTAATCTAATCACAAGGTGACTGGGACAGAAGTAACTGTCTTAAGGTTCTCCTGATCCAGGAAAGGGTACAATTGGCACATTTAGTGTACCTGTGCCAAAGTCTTGTTGGACATAGCTTCCATCTGCTCTTTAAGCAGGAGCGGAAACTCAAAGTGGACCTCCAGACTGTGCACACGTCTTAAATGGGGATGTGCAACCCCAGTGAGAGTCAGCAGTGATATATCACCAGATCTGAGATAGTGGTAATGGAAACAAATATAATCACTCAGGATTGAGCTGTGGTAGCGCAGTGGTTAGAATGCAGTACTGCAGACTAATTCTTCTGATAGCCGACTGCCAGCAGTTCAGCAGTTCAAGTCTCACCAGCTCAAAGTTGACTTCTATCCTTCCGAAGTCAGTAAAATGAGGACCCAGATTGTTGGGGGCAATATGCTGACTCTGTAAACTGCTTAGAGAGGACTATAAAGCACTGTAAAGCAGTATAAAAGTCTAAGTGCTGTTGCTATTGAGTCTGTTCAGTCCCTTCCAGACCCACATAAACTCCAGGCATTATGTCAGGACTTTGACCACATTGGTGGATGGCCAGAGATTGAGTTATATCCTATCTATGGCTGGTAAGATCCACTCTTTGTCTTTATCCATGGAGCTCCAGGATTCATTGGCTTTATTTCCCAATGCTCCAAATGACATTTAATTTCATATTTATGCTGAAAAATTGAAATTTGAAAAAGACATCAAATGTTTTAAGCACCACTGTAGAATGAAACTATAATTATAAAAAGAATTATTAATGAAGTTCAGTGTGATTCCTATATGCTTGACCAGAAATTCTGAAAAATGTTGAGAGTATTTGCCTGATTTTTCCCTTTATTTACCAAAAAGCTTCCAAATCTATTATCCTTTTACCAAGATCAGTGATGCAGTTGGAGAGATAAATGTTTGCATCCTTTGGTAAGGCAGCTTGTATGGAAGCTGCAGTATATGACTTCTGTCATCTTGGATCGTTATAATATTGTTTTATTCTGTAATGCTTCCATTTTTTTTTCTATCAAACTGAGGTCCTTTCAGAGCCAAACAGACATCCTGGTTGCCTTTTTCTGGTGCTTAAGAGTACTGGCTTCTCTTTTTGTTACAAACAGTTTTTTTTGCCTTAGAGTTGACCAAAGTGTTGTGGCTGGGCAAATATTGAGCCAGTTAGAAGGCAATTTTAGGGACCCATTTATTTGGGTAACAATCAGATGATGTAGTGGGCTGAAAATGTCAAACCGATGTTCAAACCAAGCCATTGAAAGAAATCAGAAGAGAGTTACAAACAAGATAAAATGTTTTTTTAACAAAAATATATGAAGAAATGCTGAAAAAATTGGCATACAGTTACCATATAGAGATAAGACAAACAGCTCTAAACATGTCAGAATGCTGCGGCAAGAAAGATGAGGGAAACTAGTTTTTTTCTCCATGTGCATTGAAGATGAAACACTCTGAATTTTTAAAAGGTATTTCTATCTTCTTATTACATTATTTAGAAAGAATAATCTCTAGGATGTTTGATGAAACACTTTAGATAAAGAACTACCTTCTAAAGACTTCATCCCTTGATTCTTTGCAAGGCCAAGCCATCATGCAGACAGTATGAAATGGTTAACTGACACAACAGGTCTTTTCCAAATAAATGAATTCATTCTTTTTCCTCCCCAAACTATAAAACAATGCAATAAGTACTCTGGTACATTCCTTTTTATGAAATGCTGGCAGTGATTAAATCTCTTGCTATTCAGGAGCGTGCAACAGCCCTACATGCTAGAAAGCCTCGTAAAAGAATCTCTTTCCCAGGAAAATTCACTCAGTGAAAGTACATGGGAAATGCAGTGCTGCAATTGGATTATCCCAAATAAACATACTTCTAAGAAATAGGGAAAATATACTTTTGCATTTCTAAAAGATTAATCTATAATAATTTCATATAAATGTTTTCAACCAATGATGTTTTAAAAGACTCTTAATTTCTCATCCATCAGCACTCCCTCCAATTTATGCCTTCCAATTTATGTATTGTAGTCCTAGCTTATCTGAAGAATGCCATTTTCAGAATTCTGCTTCATAAAGGCGAATTTGTTCAGTATAATAGGTTATGAAATGTTTTCCCAATTAAAGCTATTTATTTAATGTGTGTATGCCTTTGAGACATTGTTGGCTCTCGGCAACTGCCTGGATTGGTCTCTGTAGTTTTCTTGGCAAAGTTTTATGGGATTGGCTTGCCCTTATCTACTTCCTAGGGCTGAGAGAGAGGGACTGGCTCAAGGATACCCAATTAATTTATGCCTAGAGAAGGACTAGAACTCATGGTTTCTAGTGCAGTGCCTTAACCACTACAACAAACTGATTCTTTATTTATTTAATACAATTGTTTAAGTAATTATATGTTTAAACTGCTTTTCAGGATTACATCTTCAAACTCTAATAATCATGGAGGAAAATCAGCTAACAGCTATGCTAACAAGGAAAGTTATCTTTTGAAGTTGCTTTGAACAATATGAATAAAAAATGATACCAAAATTATTTTGATTGTTTTCTTAAATTCCTGGGACTAAATGCATATCTATATTGTGGTTGACCAAATTAAAGCTAATGTTGAGAATGGTCTTTATTAATACCAGATTATATTGCTTTATGGTGAGAATGCAAGCAGGACTTTGCACATAAATTTCAGTTAAAATGGCCTTTCAGATAGGCTGGTCCTATGCTATTCAAGTGGAATTTCTAAATGAACTTCACAGGAAACTCCAGCTAATATGTATAGTAATAGATCACTTTGGGGGCCACTAGTACGAGTGAGGACAAGTCCAATCATTTTGCTTAGAATATATCATTCATAGTCAGTATTCCCAACCCACCTCACAGGGTTGCTGTTGTGGAGAAAATAGGAGGATGAAGGAGTATTAAGAATGTTCCCTGCTTTGAATTTTTTGTAAAAATAATAATTAAACATCTAAAACAATTGCTGTCAGAAAACAAGTCTGATAGTCTCAAGGGCTCATAGCATCTTCGATCAGAGTCTTTTTATAAACCAGTTATGCCCTTCCTTTGAGAGCCTATTCGTATTCATATTGTTATTCGTATTGATAAGCTCCTATTATACATGGGGGAAAATAATCCAGAAACTTCAATCCAAAACAGGGGAAGATGCTTAAATGTTACAAAATGACCATGATCTTAACCAGTATTATACTACTTTCAGTAATATACTACAGGTCTGTTTACAGACCCAATTTAAGTTGTTGTTTACCAGTAATAATAGCATGTGGAGGATTAAACTCCATTTCAGGCAAACAGAGGACTAAATGGTTGACTACTTCTCTCTTAATGGTTTGGATTAATGAAAGATTTTCAAAGAATTTTAAGTATAACGTTCTGGAGATGTTAAGAAAGTCAGAATTGACTCATTCTGTTTGCCTTTCTCTTCCAAAGGGAATCAGGATTTTTTTGTTCATGGTTTATTTAGCAGAAGATAGTAGAAGATCCAAGACCTGCAGTTTCTTACACTGCTAGTAAGCCTGACCTGCCATGCCCTAGGCAAAACTGTATGGTAGCATACAGTATGAAATATGCTCACACTATTTGAGGTTAACAGAAGCTACCTCTTCTATGATTTCCTTAACTCAGTATTTCTTAAATATAGGTTGTGCCTGGTGACCTAAATTTTATTTCAGGGAACTTTATGTAGTTTATTTTTGCTTTCAGCATTCACAGTTACATTCATTTTGATATAATTAGTAAATTTTCTTGCATTAATTCTAAAAAGACTGAACATGTGATTTTCGTACTGATCAATTTAACTTCATAGAATAGGGGGAAAATACACATTTAAATAGATGAGCTGGTGTCCATAGATGTCCAGAAAAAGGTTTTATTAGGTTGCTGCAATGAATTTAGAGCCCATCTCTAAAAGCCACTGAGAGAAGGGATTACTGAAGCTGTGTTGTACCTGATAGGAAAATGGCTTTTACATTCTATAAGTAAAGACTTTTTCTTCTTCCATATATTCCCATTGCACAGATCCAATGACACACTATCCTGCATGGGTTAATTGTAATGGAAAGTACTATTTTCCTATCATTAACATGATTAATGCTAATGATAGGAAATTGATTAACTTTTTATATGAAATTTTAAACTCTCAGTTCTTAAGATTGGAAGTTTTATTCAGCAGATATACAGTTTGAGAGATCTGCAGCAGAACTGGCTATCCTTGGTATACAAGAGTTTTATTTTGGTTTGTTACTTATGTGGCCTTCTAGTTTGTAAATGAGGTTTGCAGAATATACATTATTGATTAATTTAGATATTTCTTTGTGCCTACTCTTAATATTAACGATTTAAAATTGTATGTTATCTTTAGAGGCTGCCTGCAACACTAAGAAATAATAATAATAGCAACTTTTTTTTCTTCCTAGCATTTTTTCTGCAAATGTCTGATCAATTGAGTATTTTTTTTTCAGATCAATTGAGTATTAATTCATTGGTTGTGACAAGAATTGACGAACCAGATTATTCACCAAATCTGAAATCAGCCAGCCAGCTTTCATGTGTAAAGTGGGACTAGAAGTCACAGTCTCCTGGTTTTTAGCCTGGTGCCTTAACCACTGGACCAAACTAGTTCTTACTATAACAGCAATAACAACACCATCGTCAACAATAATAATAACTTTCAATTACTCTTAACAGATTGGCTGATTTATAGCAATTAGTAACTTCTGCATTAAAGTTTTTGCACTGATGTTTGTTTATATCATTTTTAGACGAAGAGTGTTGGCCATATCGGACGGCATTGAACACATTGGGGATCTGCGCTGGGAACTGGCACTATGCCTTCTGGCTGCCTGGACTATCTGCTACTTTTGCATTTGGAAAGGTACAAAGTCAACTGGCAAGGTAAAAGAAATTATGTGCTACAATTTATGTTGCATAATATAGTCAAATACTTATGCTTTGAATTTTCCGGGTTCTCTTTCCTCTCCTTGTAAGTGCTGAGGAGTGTTCATGAATTTTCCATAAGATAAGCTTTTTTCTTAATATTAAACACTGGTGATCTGTGTGAGCTCCTTAAATAAAAAAATGTGACATTCTGTGGCAGACATGTCAAACTCGTGACATCACGTGACGTCGCACTACGTATCGGAGCTTTTTTGCCATTGCCGGCAATGGGGTGGGCACGGCTCCGGTATGATGAAACCGGCCCGCGGGCCGGCAGTTTGACACCCCTGTTCTATGGAGAAAAACTTTAACAAGGCACTGGATGAATCAATTTTTAAAATGGGTATTTTCAATGTTTCTTTTTCTTTAAACATTCCAACAAAATGGACTAAATTACAAAGATTGTTTTGCACATAATCTAAGATGTGAAGCAGCCTAACTATGAATGAGGTATATGCTAATTCATTTGGCTCAGCTGATCCTTATCAGCTATATTTCTCTGTCCTGTCAGTGTAATAAGCTAATCAAGGATTGAAATATCTCTTCTGATTGTTTGATGATGACAATGATGATGATGATGATTAATCCAAAAATTCTGGCTTGTCCTCCAAGAAAAAGCTAAGCATGGCTTTTTCTTGGTATCTCATTCTTAGCTTTCTTTAGTTGCTCTCTCAGGCATGCTATAATATAAACTAGGAGTGAATTTGTATTTGGATTATGCAGTTATTCACCAGTGGGATTGATGTAATTTAAAGATTTAAGATGCAATAAAATGTTCTGCACAAGGGCTAGCTTTAATCAAAGTGATATCTGCTAGGCTTTGGCCTGTCGCTTTACCAAATCAATATAAATTATTCGATTCAGATGAAAAGCAGTTAAGAGGCAATCTGTAATCAGTGTCATTTGAAACCATGCAGAATATCACAATGAGTTGCAGCAATTTGCAATCCCTTTGTCTGCAACTTAATGGAAGTTTGTCAGATATCCTGAAGAATATACTGTATATATTCTAATATCCAGTTTAGAGTTACCCTTTAAACATTAAAGGATTAGAATTTTGTGTACCCCTAGGTCCCATTTACTGACCATCAGATGTTTGTAGTCTGGACTGGTAACTTACTTTAAAAAAAGTACACGCAACTTGTATCTAGTTTTTTCCCCCATTGGTTTCTAGTTTCATTGCATGTTTAATAATGAAATTTATAGCAAAAAAATGGAAAGCAGCTTTGTTTGTTTGTTTGTCTGTTTATTTATTTAATAATTGATCAAATTTATAAAAGTACCCATTTCACAAATGTGTCTCTGGACAAAGCATGCAATAAAACAACAAAGCAACAATTTAAATGATTTAATCATAAATATAAGTAAGGCTGCTGGAGAATGGACTAGCATCCTGCATATAGGGTAACTGTCTCATGGGCTCCCTGTTTCCCTGGAATCCTAAAACCTGTTGGAAGGAATCATGTTTTGAGGGATTTCCTAAATGCTAACCCATCATAACCTATGTAGGAAATTCTGGGAATTGAAGTCCACACATTTTAAAGTTGCCAGCTTTGAAAAACACTGCTTTAACTTTTAATTGCTAAAGGACCTTAATTAAACAACCGAAGGAAATGTATTCTTATGAAATATTCATGTTTTAATTTTCCAATTTCAGTGATTTACCTTCATATGCTCCATTTTTATAAAGAAAGTGTTGCTTTGCTATTAATTGCTTTTGATTTTAATATAGCATCTTTGAGATTTAGTGTACATTTAAAGAATTCTAAGTAGACATGCGGTTTAACAGAAGCCATTGTAAAAGGCAATTTTGCCACCAATAATTTTTGTAGCTGTTGTTCTTTTTCCTTAACCTGGTATTCTACAGATATAGTGAATTTCAAATCCCATAGGCTTAAGGAATTAGAGGAATTCTAATTAGGAATTAGATTCCTATGAAGAAATTAGATTGCTATTATCTGGCAAGCTTTAGAAAAAAAGCTAAGTGGGTCCTATGTATTTTTATACTAGCTATTCTTTCTCAAGCCTGCTTATGAGAGTATGGTCAGGAGACTAGCTAAAAACCATGCTAAAGAAAAGCATTAACAGTTAATGCTATAGTTTGATTAATCACATATGCAAATTTACAACCTGGTGTTCACAGTTCTACTTGATTGCTCCATTGGCAGTCTTTACATATTATTTATTTATGTGAAACCATGATTTGTTTTAGCTATGATTTGTTGAGTAAATCATAATTTTATATTTTCAAACCTGCCACATGCACCACATTTGTTTGCCACTGGCTTAGTATAATGGGTAAAATTGACCCATAGTATGCTAGTTTAGCATTGTGTCTGAATGGTGTTATTTGGCGTATTCCACAAACAAGTAATAAACCAGTCATGCTTTTGCATTCTACACTGATACTACATTCCTAATTAATTTCATTTCAGTCTTTTCCTTTCTCAGTTAAGGTTTTAAAAAAATAAAGTTCCACTTTTGTTCATATCAGTAAATGAATACTTTCATGATATATAAATTAGGCTGACTCAGTTCTAGAGCATATAGTTCTACAAGATGATAATTTCAGTCATTTTCAGTAAACCATGATCATTAACCAGTAACATGCTAGGAGCGATGTCTTATGTGAAAATGTCTTTAGAATTATGGCCATTGATAATATATGCCATCGAGTATGTACTTACTGTCCCTTGAATATTTATATAAAGGTGGCAAAAATTCCCAGATACCTTGAATCCCAGGTTAGATCTGAAGACCTAGAAGCTCCTGTGCAGCAGCCAGCAGCAACAGGGGGTCCATCCACTGTCATTTAGGGTGTTCTTGACAGGCAGAAAAGTTATAGCCTGATATACTTTCTTTTTCCTCTGTAACTCTTCTAAATTTTATTCAATAAAACCTCTTTAGCATTTGCATTAGTTTGAGCCTATTGTCTTTGCATCCCAGAATCTAGCTGCTGTTGCCAACGCAGTCAAAAAGTGTCCTTCAGAAATAGAGCAGAAAAACATGTCCTGGGGTCACTTTGACAGTGAATGAGGATTTTGTCTAAATTATGGGCATCTTTCCTCCTTAGGGACACCAGTAATATAATCACCATTCCCATTATGTTTTTGCAAAAGTCTTGATATTTAAATAGGTTTAAAACTGATACATGTTAGTGGTTTGTGTATGTACAGTATGTGTATACATTTAAAGAATATGGTAAGTGTGTGTTTCTCTCTCTCCCTTTCCCCTCTTTTTCTCTCTCTCTAAAAGAGACAGTTCCATATCAAGTAAAGTCCAGAATACATTGTAGTTAATGATTTTGCATTGCTTAAAACCAACAGGTTTTAATCCTTTTCTTATATACTGGAATACAAATATGTGTGCCTCTGCTAAATGGAAAATTAGTAAGAATGATAAAGGCATACTAATGTTGACTTATGTGGAAGGAATGTAAAGTTCGAAAAAAAAAGACTATTAGTTCACAATGATCCTATTTGGAATGATGTATTTCATTAGTATTAACATATCTGCCCTGTACCATGCTGAATTAAATAGCTTTGTAGATTTTATCTTTATAAATAATAATAGTTATTATTATGTACACAAAACCATGAATTTACAGTTACCAGTTCTTTAGCTGATGCTGGTCTTCATACACATCAAATTCTTTCCAAGAACCTAGGATGTTGTAATATATACATGTGTAGTATTCAAGCAGTGTGGTCTTTTGTTAATTGACTGATAGAAATTTTGTCAATGACCACATTTCCTAAGTGCTGTCCAAGATATTTTGTTACGGCACCCAGTATGTTGAGAACCACAGGATCACCGAGGCCAACTTATGTTACAATCTTTCAACTCTGATTTTCAAATCTTGATACTTCAGGTATTTTCCAGTTCTTTGTTTTCTGTTCTACTATCCCCTGACATTGCCATATTAATTATCCACAATTTCTTTTTCTGAATCACAGTTATATTCAGAAATTCCACAATATTTTAGCCTGTTGATTTTCAATTCTCTGTTCTCACTGATTTTTCATTACTAATACATGATTGTTTTTACAGATGTTTCAGTGAATCATTTAGGTGATCATGTTAAGTTGTTTTTTATAATCAGTTTGTGCAATTCCTGAATGAGCTGAGCATATGCTCTACTGCTTCTTCTGCTTCTTTGCACAATCTGCACTTTGAATCATTTGGTGATTTTTCAATTCTGGCCTTGATTGTATTAGTTCAAATAGCTTGCTCTCAAATCAATCCTTCAGTTTCTTTTTTTAATGCCCCATTTGTAAGCCATTGCCAGGTTTTATCTTTATCCAGTTTTCTCTCATTTTTTTTAATAGAAATCGATCATACATTTCTTTGCCAACATTCTGTTTGTGTTTTTATATTTTTGATATCTATATTTTGTTTCCTGTACCATTCTATACAATTATTAATCCCTCCTTCTATTTTCTCCACAACAAAAACAATACTGTTCTTATGATTAAAGTCTGTTTAAAGGCCTGGAGACTAAAACATATGAAGAACGGTTGCAGGATTTGGGTTTGGTTAGTCTAGAGAAAAGAAGGATTAGGTGTGACATGATAGCAGTATTCCAGTATTTGGGAGGTTGCCACAAAGAGGAAGGGACCAACTTATTTATCAAAACAGCTGTAGTTAGGATAAGAAACAATGGATGGAAACTAATCAAGAAGAGAAGCAACTTGGAACTAAGGAGAAACTTCCTAACCATGAGGAAAATTAACCAGTGGAACAGCTTGCCACCAGAATTTGTAGGTGTTTCATCACTGAAGGTTTTTAAGAAGAGACTGGACAGTCACTTGTCTGAAATGGTATAGGGGCTCCTGTTTGAGCAGCGGGTTAGACTAGAAGACCTCCAAGGTCCCTTCAAGCTCTATTCTAATTGATACTGCATGCATGTCACAAAGAGGTGGAATTTGAAGAGTAACATTTATGATTAATAGAAAAAA